TGTTGCCTTAGCCGTGTGTTTTAGGTCATTGTCATGCTGGAATACCCATCCACAACCCATTTTCAATGCCCTGGCTGAGGGAAGGAGGTTCTCACCCAAGATTTGACGGTACATGGCCCCGTCCATCGTCCCTTTGATGTGGTGAAGTTGTCCTGTCCCCCCCTTAGCAGAAAAACACCCCCAAAGCATAATGTTTCCACCTCCATGTTTGATGGTGGGGATGGTGTTCTTGGGGTTATAGGCAGCATTCCTCCTCGTCCAAACACAGCGAGTTGAGTTGATGCCAAAGAGCTCCATTTTGGTCTCATCTGACCACAACACTTTCACCCAGTTGTCCTCCGAATCATTCAGATGTTCATTGGCAAACTTCAGATGGGCATGTATATGTGCTTTCTTGAGCAGGGGGACCTTGCGGGCGCTGCAGGATTTCAGTCCTTCACAGCGTAGTGTGAAGGACTTGGTGACTATGGTCCCAGCTGCCTTGAGATCATTGACAAGATCCTCCCGTGTTGTTCTGGGCTGATTCCTCACCGTTATCATGATCATTGCAACTCCACGAGGTGAGATCTTGCATGGAGCCCTTGGCCGAGGGAGATTGACAGTTCTATAGTGTTTATTTCATTTGTGAATAATTTGCACCATCTGTTGACACCTTCTCACCAAGCTGCTTGGCAATGGTCTTGTAGCCCATTCCAGCCTTGTGTAGGTCTACAATCTAGTCCCTGACATCCTTGGAGAGCTCTTTGGTCTTGGCCATGGTGGAGAATTTGGAATCTGATTGATTGCTTCTGTGGACAGGTGTCTTTTATACAGGTAACAAGCTGAGATTAGGAGCACTCCCTTTTAGAGTGTGCTCCTAATCTTAGCTCGTTACCTGTATACAAGACACCTGGGAACCAGAAATCTTTCTGATTGAGAGGGGGCAAATACTTATTTCCCTCATTAAAATGCAATTCAATTTCTAACATTTTTGACATGCGTTATTCTGGATTTTCTTGTTGTTATTCTGTTTCTCACTGTGCAAATAAACCTACCATTAAAATTATAGACTGATAATTTTTTTGTCAGTCGTCAAACGTACAAAATCAGCAGGGGATCAAATACTTTTTTCCCTCACTGTATGTGCGCACTTTGTGTGCGTTCAGGGGGGAATTGCGGTCGTGGCACCACAGTGATTATGGTGATGGTAATGATGATTGATGGTGGTGATGATGTTAGTGGTGTTAGTCGTGGTGTTGATGATGATGAGCTTGATGGTGGTGGTGATGATGCTAATTGTTTTTTTGACGGTGGTGATGACAGTGATAGTGATGATGGTGGTGATGATGGTTTATGGTGATGATGGTCATAATGATGTCGATGACAGTGGTGATCATGAGTAATGATTATGATGATGGTGATGGACGTGATAATGGTGGTGATTTTTGTGGTGTTGATAGTTATAATGATGATGGTGGTGGTTAATGGTGGTGATCGTGGTAGCGGTGATTATTAGGATAATGATGCTGATGATATTGCTGATGATAGTGATAATGATGATGGGGTGATGGTGACGATGATAGCAATGATGGTGGTGATCGTGGTGATGATAGTGACGATGATGTTGGTGATGGTGATTATGATGGTTTTGGTGGTGTTGATAGTAATGATGATGGTGATGGTGGTTGATAGTGATGGTGGTGGTGATGGTGATGCTGTTGGTAATGATGATGATGGCGATGATGGTGGTAGTGATGACGGTGGTGATTATGATGATGGTGGTGTTGATGGTGTTGATGATGACAGTGGTGATGATGATGGGGTGATGGTGGTGATGGTGGCGATGGCATTGATGATGGGGTGATGATGGTGATGACGATAGTGATGATGGTGAATTGCAGGGATGAGGAGGCGTGGTGACGCGAGCGTGCACTGCAGGTGAAGGAGCGGACACACGGACTCTGGGGCTGCGCTGATTTCCCACTCAGATTTCATTAAAATCCCTCAAACTTCCGCGACGGAGATTTGTACTTCACCGGCGACATCGCTCACGCACACCAACCTGAACCCCACCCTCCCCCTCACCCTACCCCTCCATGCTCACCTCACCCATCCCTCAATTTTCACCTCACCCTCCCATAACCTCACCCTCCCCTCTCCTCACCCTCTCTCTACCCCCTCCTTCCCATCCTCTCCTCTCCTCACCCTCACCATCACCCTGTATTCTCACCCGTCACTTTCCCTCAACTTCCCCTCCATTCTCCCCTCATGCTCACCTTACCTTACCTCTCCCTCTGTTCCGCCTACCCCTTACTCTCATTTCACCCTCTCCTTCCTTTCTTGGGTTACTCTCTATCAAACCCCGGGGTGCACGACTCAGATCCACGATCTTCAATGGTTGATTATAATAATTCACCCACATTGCAGGGTAGAGAGGCTGCAAGAATATCTGCCGAACCTCGAGGATCACATCCATGGAGTCGGCGCGGTAAAACGCCAGGAGCCCCCCCTCCCAGTGCAGGTGAAGCCCGATTCTGCGGGGAGAGAGGGCTCCCCTCACCGACAGTGCAGTCTTCGCTCCACCATGAACCACTGAGAAGTTGTCGTCACGTTTCTCTAAACACCAGGACGCATCGCTCCCTCCCAGCTCCTGTGCAGCACCACTCCCTTTCCGTGGGATCATTCCGTATGCCACTCCAAATCGACACCACAGCACGTCCTCCACGTCCACCTCCCAGTAGTGGTGGCCCGAGGAGAAGCTCTCACAGCACAGGGCTTGTACACGGCCATCAAACCGGTGTGGGTGATCGGGGCGACCCTGGGAGGCAAGGACTGCTGTCATCGTCCTGAGATCCGAGGAGATCTGGAGTTGGTTATGAGCTGAGTTTGTGTCCAGAGTCGGTGAGCGTCCGTCTGTGACAACAGCCATGACAACATCACTAGAGAACACCATCATCACCATTATCCACCATCACCACCATCAACATCACCATCACTAACCATCATCTTCACCATTAACAATAACATCACAAACATCACCATCACCAACCATCCTCGCCATCAAAATCATCAATGACAACAACATATACATCACCATCACCACCATCATCAACACTATGAACATCAACAACATCACTATCGCCATCAACAACATCACAACCATCATCACAAATAATCACCAGCACCATCACTACTATCACCTTGACAATCACCACTATCCCCATCACCATTTTCATCACCATCACCAACGCGACAAGCATCATTATAACCATCATAGCGACCATTAAAACCATCATCACCACCATCACTACCATTATCACCATGACCAATATCATCACTACTTCCATCAGCGCCATCAGCAAGACCATCACAACCATCACAACCTATATCATCACCAATGTCATCACCATTTCCATTACTCACTATCGCTAACAGCATAATATCCAACAAGAACCGCCATTCGTCACTAAGTGGCGGTGACGTCACCACGGCGCTTGTGCCAGGCTATGTGCACGTTGAGGCCACGTGAAGTGTAGAACGGATCAGGAACTCATTTGAGGTTAAAACTGTCTAGCAGAGGCCCAGGACTGGATCAGATACACCTGCCACTGATGTTAGCCATGGCGGGTAATCAAAGCAAGGTAACTGGGTTTGCAGTGCAGTGTGCTAACCACTATGCCACCACTCCCCCCCCCCCTCCCACGCACAAATGCACAAACACATTCACAAGAATGCCATACTAAGTCTCATGGCTCTGTGCAGTAGGGTCTTGGATTGGGATCCGAACAAAGACTAAGATCCCCTGTGTAGCCTAAACAGACCATTGGCGCAAGTGCTGTTAGCGAGCATCTATGATGACCAGCAGGGCACACGAGGAGGTGGGTGGCCAGCACCACGCCCGACCACCTTTTTCTCCCTAGTGGCGATTTGGTTTAAATACAGGATCAGGTTCCAGAATGTAAACAAAGAAAAATATTCCCCGTGTTGCCTTAACAGACTGTCAGGGCAAATCAGCACCTTTGAAATCTGGCACAGCATATGAGGGGCTGGCCACCTTTGTCTCCCTCGTGGTGATGTTACACACAAAGCTAGGTAAGCATTTGAGGCTGAGTCGACCTCGTGCACACACACACGGTGATCATTTATTGTGAAGATGGCGCCATTACCCATGTTTCACACTGAAGAACTCACACAAGATTTTGGCCACAGTTCCCTCGGTGCCTTTAAGCGAGGCAATGTCCTCTTGGCTGGGAGCTGAGGGTGGAGCTGCTGTATCCCTCCCTGTCCTGTGAAAGCAGAACAGACATGGCGACTGTCTCACGCAGAGCATCGTCACTCACAGGATCATCACAGCTCCATCACATAGACACTCATCACACAATTACAGCATCACCACATGGCATTACTATCACCACACTTAGCATCATCACACACAGCATCATCAGACAGCATCACCACACACACCATCATTACACACAGCATTATCACACGCAGCTTTACTATCACCACGCATAGCATCATCACATACAGCACCATCACACAGCATCATCACACATAGCATAACCACGCACCATAACCACACAAACCATCATCACGCACACAACCACACAAACCATCACCACACACACCATCACCACACACAGCCAATGTCTCACTGCCCGCACCCCATACTCAGTCCCATGTTGTCGTGAGTGATAGTCGTCTTTTACCTGCGCGTCTCCTCCAGGTGTCCCTGTGGGAGAGAGAGATGCGTTACTGTGGCTCTACCTCCATTCCCTTGTGATCAGTGGAGTTCCCACTGCAACACCGTGGGTGGAATATAAACCCCAAAATCTTGGCTTATGACTCTATGATCACCAACACTGACTTACGGGGCAAATATTTCAGAGTGAGAACGGTTGATAGTCAACTATAAACTACTATTTTTTATTTTCCAGGTAAGGCCCACGGAGCTATGTAGCTCTTTTTCAGAAGCGACCTGGCCACAAATGATAGCTCAACGAAGTGGTTCATCTTGTGGAAATTTATAGCAGCCAAATACTCTAAACGCACGTTTCCAAATGTGGAGGGAAAAACTGGAGAACCCGCAGAAAAACCCATGCGACCATGGAGGGAGAAATGTAAACTCCAAATGTATATGGACGTCAGGGTTGGGATAAAATCCAGGACCTTCGGTATAGCAGGCGAGGTAGTTAACATCTCGCCACCCCCATGAGGACCAACACTGATTTGCAGGGCAACTATTTCAGAGTGAGACCGGTTGATATTGATCTGTGCTGAGAGTAACTTAGGACTGGTAATTTCTGGTGTTACCAATGCACATGGTGCAGATCTTGTATAAGTGATATTCAAAAAAACAATAATATATTTAATTAGTGTATGAGACCTATTTATTTTAGCATCGCAAATATGAACAATGAAGGTAGCGCATCCAAGTGGAGGTACATGAAGCAAGAAGCTGAGATGAAATCAGCTCTTGAACAGGCGCTGGTGGATTGTTGCATCGCGGCATCATGAGATGTGGCAATGGCTTGGGGAAGCCTTCATCAATAAGTGGATAGATCATGGCTGATGATAATCATAAATACCGTGCACATTGTTGTTGTATGGTTGATTTAAAAAGTTCAATTCCAATAACATTTAGTTTAAATTCACAATGAAACAAACTTAATGGGAATCTGTTAAAGGACGAGAGAGATAATTAATTTCACTGAGAAAATATGAGCTGGCCTTCAAAATGGCAGCCACTGGAGCTGCGATGCGAGTCCATGAGTGGAGATGTGTTCTCAAGCCCAGTGGATGCAAGCTCTCATTCAGGAGCCTCCCTCTGCTGCTGCTGGTGAGAGGGCTTTGTGCCAATAGCGACACTGGAGACTCATCGCTCACCTGCAGGAACGCGAGCGAGTCCCTCTCCTGCACTAGAGCCTGCAGGCGTGTAGCTGCTGCCTGGAGCTCGCTGATCTCGCGCTGGTAGCGAGCGATCTTCTTCTCGATCTGGGACAGCAGCTTGCGCCCTTTCTGCTCCAGTTGCTCTAACGCCGCCTTCTCCTCCGCATCCAACGCTGCTCTCGCGCTGGCGAATCTGACCGAGATGGAAGCCTTTTCATCTGTCACGGATCCCTGCAAAGAGAGAGAAATGCCACCTCTGTTCATTAAATGTCTGGTCCTTTGTGAAATGACATTCAGGTGTCCGGACAGTGATACGAGTCTGCAGCACTGAGGCCTCCTTCTTCCTCTGATAGCGCTGCTGAGCATTTTCAGTACAACACGATTTGGGGGCTGTGAGGCATCATCAAATACCATCAGGAGTACATTTAGGGTCTGTGCCATTCTCATTGCGCAAGGCTATCAGGACGATGCTGTGTTTGCCTTCCCATGAAGCAAAGATTAATTTGGAATTTGCCTTCAACAAGTAGAGCCCTAAGGAATTGGGAAGTTAGGCCAATTTCTCTTCAAATTAATAATTTGAATGTGAGAGAAAAGCACGTATGTATGGATGAAGAGAGTGGATCATGAAACCACTTGCTAAACTGGCACCTGGCCACTCTAACGCCTGATTGGATTCACTAAAAGAGTGTACAACAGTCTGTGTGTGATCCACCAACTCTGCCACCAGAGTATTGGATAATAGGCACGTACCACCTCATTAGACCAATATAGATAACACGTTGAAGTGGTAAGTTGTTTAGAGATATGGGAATGTGGAATTTCCACCACTGATTGAGTTTCTCAGTGGATTTGAGAACCACCTCGTTGCTCGTCCTGATTATTGAGGCGCATTGACCGTTGTATGTTTAGTCCCACAATGTGTTTGGAGTCAATGGAAGTCCACGTGAATGAATGGAGTTGTCCTCCATCACAAACCCTACTCAGGGTGGAGTCACAGGGTCACAGAGTCAGGCACAGACGTGGTACCTGCACGTCCCTGCGAGCGGCCTCCATCCGCCTCACGGACTCCTCCGCCTCCCTCCTCTTCTCCTCCACCGCCCGCGTCTCCTCTCCCACTTGTTTCTGTGAGAGACGTCACCAGGGGAGACTCCACTCACTCTCTGAGCATCCCCTCTCAACCCCGCTCCACGTGAACCCCTCCACAGTGACGGGGGCAGTAGCCCCGGTGCAGCGATGGAGGCTGGGGGAGCAAAAGGCTGCAGGGAACTGATTTCACGAGGAGCTCAAACATGTGCAGGGCTAACTGAGTAGTGGGTGGGGCTACCTGAGTAGTGGGCGGGGCTGCTGGAGTAGTGGGCGGGGCTATCTGAGTAGTGGGTGGACAGGGCACCAGAGTGGTGAGATGTTTTCTGCCTTGCCTGCTATTCAGGAGGTCGTGGGTTCGAAACTGCATCTGATGCCTGTTTATGCAGTTTGCATGTCTGTTTCCATGGACGCATGGATTTTTCTCCCGGTTCTCCGGTTTTTCTGTCCACGTTTAGGAAGGTGCGTTTAGAGTTTTTGGCTGCCATACATTTAGACCTGATAAGCCACTTTGTTGAGCATGTAATTTGTGGCCAGGTTGCCAACTATACATAGCTCTGTAGGTTTCACTTGGTAAAATAAAAATTGGTTAAGTTTAGTTTTGCATGGTACAAGGAAGGGCTGCCATGTCTCTGTTGAGTGTCGGAGAAATTCGGTAACGAGCATCTTGATGAAAATATAAAAACGATCACGAAATACTTGTTCTTTCAAAATCACGCGACATTTCTGGAACACCAAGTCCAGTGACCCGGTAGCTGCTTTCGAGTGCGGCACTAAACTGGCACAGACCGGCACGAGGCTACCAAGTGGTGAGCACTGCGGCTCACGCAGTCCCAATCGTTTTGCATTTCGTTTCAATTCTAGGGGATGCTCCTCTCTACCACAACCCACTTTTTGTATGCGAATCACAGTCGATGCATTCACGTAATTTTAAGAACACGTTGTACGCATTAAAGTTCTTCAGTTTTATCAAATATACTAAGAGCACATTTATAAATTTGGCATACAACAGGATTGAAAAAAACTTGTGGTTGTATTATGTTTGCACTATGACAACCTCAGCATGCTTTGCATTAAAACAACGTTGTTAAAATGTGAACGAAAAATCGGCAGCTGAGAGAGGAATGATATTTAGTTGGATATCATTGTTCAGTTCATACTTGGAAATGATGATTTCGTGCACGACAGGCTCCCGCTCACACACAGGCAGACCGTCTCACCTCCCGTGTCTTGTGCTCATCCTCCAACGTAGCCACATCGTGACCCTTGTGGTCTCCTGCAATGGTGCAGGTTGTGCAGACCAAGCTCTTGTCCTGTCGGCAGTAAAACTCGAGCTCCTTTCTGTGTTTCTTGCATTTGCGGTCTTCAGGATTCGTGTCTGGATCCACCAGAATGTGGCCCCTGAACTTCGGGTTCTCCTGATGAGGCTTTACATGAGTCACACAGTAGGACATATCACACCTGAGGCAGGTCTTCGAGGCAGCGGTCGTGCCATCGTTGCAGAAGTCACACAAGACCACAGTGGCCAATTCATCTGCGGCACTGCGCTGCTCCACCAGGTTGGCGAGCGTGAAGTTCTTGCTCAGCTTGGGCCTCTGAGGGAAGGTCACTCGGCACTGTGGGCAGGAGAAGGACTCAGCCGCATCCCAGGCGCCCTCCAGGCACTCGAGGCAGAACGAGTGGCCGCAGCTGAGCGTACAGGGGCAGCGGAAGGCGTCCAGGCAGATGGGGCAGGTCAACTCCCTTCGAGCCTCGTCACCACTGAGAGCCGCACTCGCCATGGCCCTGTGCCTCCACTCAGAGACGGGCACTGGATGTAGCTCAGGCAGTCTCTGGCTGTAGATCAGTCAGTCTCTGTCTGTAGCTCAGGCAGTCGGTTGATGTAGCTCAGGCAGTCTCTGTAGCTCAGGTAGTCTCTGTCTGTAGCTCAGGCAGTCTCTGTCTGTAGCTCAGGCAGTCTCTGTAGCTCAGGTAGTCTCTGTCTGTAGCTCAGGCAGTCTCTGTAGCTCAGGCAGTCGCTGGCTGTAGCTCAGAAAGTCGCGGGCTGGAGCTCAGGCAGCCTCTGGCTGTAACTTCAGACAGTTGCTGACTAGCTCAGGCAGTATCCGGATGTAGCTCAGGCAGTCCCTGGCTGTAGCTCAGGCAGTCTCTGTCTGTTTCTCAGGCAATCGCTGACTGCGTCTGAGACGCTAAACAAGGAACAAGCCACGTAAATAGGTGACAAGGAAGCAGGATGTCTTTCAGTTTGATTTGCGTGTCACGAGGCGTGCCCTGGAATGTGTTGACGTGTCAGCGAGTACAGACGTCTCCACTCCAGGGGTGGCTTAAAAAAGAAGACTCCGATCACCTCGTCTCAAATACTCATCCTCACTCACCTCATCGCAACTCACTTCAGAGGCCGTCCATAAATGACGTCACGCGATTTTGGACGATTTTTTACCCCCCCCCCCTCATCGTACGGCGTCACAAAAAGTCAGGCCCCCCCCTTAAAATATGACGTCACAAAGCTCTGCCCCCACCCCCCAAAACCATATTTCCATTTTGAAAATAAAACATGCTTCAAATCGCTTTAAACTATTGTCATTGTAGTGCGTATTTAATGTGGCGTTGCACTCTGATGTTGCAGGAGAAAACATTTAAAAGGAGGCGTTGGAAAACTGAAATTTAGCATATATTATATTGAAATTATCTTATAATTATAAAATATAAAAGTAATTATAACGATTAAAAAAATACTTGAAACTTCGTAGTAAAACAAAGTAAAATGGAGAGTACAATTATAACAATCACAGATTCATTTCACAGAATGAAAAACCCTGGAAGAATAATTAGAATCAAAATGTTTAATAACAATCATTAACATTTTTTTCAAAATGTATGCTTCTCCATTCTCCCATGGAGAAGCAAAATGCTCCTTCATGGAATAAACTAAAGTGACCTTAGTAAATTTAAATAATCAAATGGTTAATAATGGAAATGTATCAAAATTAGTGTTGTTTTAACAATTCTATATTTATTTAAAGTTGCGCATTTTAACGTGACGTCACATCTCTCAACCCCCCCCCCTCGTCACACATCGTCATAAATGTCTGACCCCCCCCCCTCCTAGGTGCATGACGTCATTTATTGACGGGCCCTCACCTCATCTCACATCACCTCAACTCAACTCAGCTCACCTCATCTCAACTCACCTCATCAACTCAACTCACGTCAACTCACCTAAATTCACTTCAACTCACCTCATCTCAACTCACCTCATCAACTCACCTCACCTCAACTCGTCTCAACTGAACTGGCAGGGGGATGTGGGGGCTGACGTCCACCTCCCCGCTCCCCGTGAGCGGGCGGGGCGTGACGTCCACCCCCTCCACTTACCCCTCCTCCACTTCACTGTGCCCCCGCCGATCACGTGATCGGCCCCCCCCGCGCCAGCGCCCTCTCTGAGGGACATCGCTACTCGGCTGGCTCACCACCGCCCGGGGTTATCTCGCACACGCCCACGTACACCACCACCACTGATGCGGAGGTTGCTGCGTGCACGCGCGCGCCCCTGCCGGCGCTTGTTGCACTCAAAGTCGAGCGCTAAAAATAGCCTCATGAATATGCACGCGCCCCTCCCCGTGCCTAAGCCCTCATCCGCTGTGTAACAATGCTATGCGAAAAAGGGGATGGCTGTGGCAGGCCCTGGGTGCACGCCTCGCCTTTAAAGCTAATTTTTACAATGTCCACGTGCCTTGTAAAGGCGTGCGAACGCCAGCGAGCGGGTGGATCGACCCCGCCTTAATCACTCACGCGACGCTGCAGACACGCGTCTTACACACATGCGAAACCATGAGTAACCAGTGGCGGTCGTATAGATGGTAATAGATGCGCACCTCACACACCAACCCCGCGCCGCCACTCCGCAGCCCCGCGCTCGCTCTCACGCCGGGCACACCGTCTCTACACGCAGACGCGCCACACAGATCACAGACGCTACACCGAGGCTCTGACAACACACACAGAAATCACACTACACCGATATTCTGAACTATAGTTTATTAATGGTGCCAATACGCATGACCCGGAGGAGGAATATTTTGCGAGGAGAGCCTAGCGTAGCTCTGCCTATGAGCCCAGTTACACAAATGTTCTACCATGTACCTTGTAGCTGTACTCATGGCGTCGCATTGACACTGTGAGAGTCGGAGGGAGAGGACGAGCGAAAACCTCGCCTATCACTGCCTCGTAGCAGCACTCGCTGGCATCACACGAATGCTGCGAGCGGCTCAAGGAGGAAGGATGGCAGGGAGTGGGTCTGGATCGGCCGGAGGTTGAAGACTACTGAACTCACCGTCCCATTGCACCTGTCTTTATTCTCTAAACTTCAAAGGCCCAGGGTGATGTCATATCGCGCAGCCAATCGGGCGCTTACCCATGCCCCCCGTCGTCGTCCCTCTCCACTGTCTCTACCGTGGCCCAATCCCCTCGCTTCAAAGGCCCAGGGTGGCATTGTACCGTGCAGCCAATCGCACGCTCACCTGTGCCGTCTACATGGAGGGCCACGGGGTCTGCTGCTGCTACAGATCCTCACCCATCGTCCTCCCGTGCTCATTAATTATAACCCACTGGTCTGCTCTTCTGGCCGAATATTCCACCCTCCGCCTCTCCCAGTGTCGTGAGTAACTCATTGCGGATGGCCCAGTGAACCTTTTCGTTCAGCGCCCATACAAATCTTAAGCCAATTTAGGGGCACCGCAATGTAACCTGCCCTGTGAGGGTCGGTCAATCTCCTGGCACCGGGAAACTGTGAGACTCTCCCTCTAGGGGCCATTCGGATTGAAACCCGATGTGCCAGGCAACCCCCCGTCAGGACACTACGTGGGTGCGCTGCGTGTGGCTAATTGTTTAGTTTGGCGGCCGGGAGGGGATTGCGGCGTTTGCGGAGTTGCTCCGTGGTCGTGGCACCACAGGAACGCTGCTCGTAAACTCGTTGCTTTCTGCCTCTCTACTCCATGAGATTGTTGTTGTTATCTTCGTCTTTCATATTTCTTTCAGCTTCTCCATTTATTTTAAGTTTAACACTTTAAACTACTTCGTGAAAATGTGTTCCTGTCTCAAAGTCACGTTCCAGTTGTCGAGCTGTGAGACACCGGTGGGAGTTGCCGTGTTTAACTCGATCACGTGGCTGGGGCTCAGGTTCCAGCTGGGGGAGCTGTGAGGCACCGGTGTGAGTTGCCGTGTTTAACTCGGTCACGTGGCTGTGGCTCAGGTTCCAGCTGGTAGAGCTGTAAGACACCGGTGGGAGTTGCCGTGTTTAACTCAGTCACGTGGCTGTGACTCAGGGTCCAGCTGGTGGAGTCACAAACCACCGGGCGAGGCCCTTTGCTGAATCCGGCACCATTACCGCTCATGTGGGCGGGGGGCAGGCGCCCCAGGGGTAGTCCGGTTGTATCAAATCAACATCAGCGCGCCTTTTTTGCCGGTATCAAAGTGTGAGAAAACAATAATAATAATAATAGGTTTTACCCTTTCTGGCAATAAAACAGTTGTGTTAAGATGTTCAAATACCAATCAAAATTTTTTGCAAGGAATAATGTCTGCATTGACTACACACAGTACTTGTGTAGTGGCTTGGATTCACTCGGACGACAATCGCCTTTCTTCCACCGTCACTTTTATTTCCATCGTTCCCCACACACACACACTATATATAATTACACACAGACTATATATATAATTTCACACACACACACTATATATAATTTCTCCTCTCCGCGCTCCGCCAACTCGTACACTCGAATTCCCCTCAGCACCGTCCGCTCATACTCCTTGCCTCCGCACACAGTCTCTTCTTCTCTCACCGCACACATAGTGGTTCTATCTCTATCTCCTCACACACAGTGACTCGTCTATCTGTTCACACACAGTGGCTCTGTCTATCTCTTCACACACAGTGACCTGTCTATCTCTTCACACGCAGTGACTCTGTCTATCTCTTCACACACAGTGACCTGTCTATCTCCTCACACACAGTGACTTGTCTATCTCTTCACACACAGTGACTTGTCTATCGATAACTCTCCCTGTACCTACCTATACCGTAATCTCCACTCTGCTAATGCTAACTCTCGCTATCGCTATTTATTGTCCTCTGGGTTCGGCTCTCAATCTATTTCCCACTAACACTTGCCGGGCTTCCACTCTTCGCATCTCTCTCTACCCGATGCTGTCTCCACTTCTCGCCAACTCCCCCGTCGTCCAAATCACCTAGCGTTTTTATCCCCTTTCCAATCAGCCTTAATAAATTGCCACGTGCCTCGCTGGCATTTTCCCGCCAGCTCCGCACCTGTCCAATGGCACAGACTCTACTCCACTACATCACCCCCCCCCCCCCATGATGAAAGAACCTAGCCGTCCCCGGCTACTCTATACTCGAATTGGAGTAGTGGAGTGAAGCGGACGCAACGATGAAAACATATATACAGAACGCACTCGCAACACATAACCATTTGTACAACCACCTGACACGCATCACACAACTACACTCACACAACACCTTTATACAGAATCCCTAAACCCCCGAAAGTCAACGTAGTGTGCTTCTCCTGGAACGGGTTGCCGTTGCCGGCCCATCTCCCCTGCACGGGACACCCTGCGGTAAGGGAGGGCCTCGCTCGTCTCGCCAACGAGGGGCGCTCCTGGGCTCCACCCTGCGCCCATCCCTGTCCCAGTGACACTCTGCTGGCGGGACTGTCCGTCGTTCTCGGTCGGGACGGACATTGGTCCGGATCTGTGGCCGTTCAGTCGGCGTCCGGTCAGCAACTCTGCCCAAAAGGGGCGATCCTGCAGGCACACGGGGGGCAGATCTCTGGGACACGCGCACTTGTGACCTCCCC